GATAACTAATTTTTATATAGAGATGTAAATACACACGGTCACATCACTAATAAAATTGTCTTTAATATTACTCTACAACCGTAAAAATTGCACGATGGTTTCTAAATTGAATTCTTTTACAGTGTAAAAATATATTACATTAATTGTTTTCATGGTTAATAAGATTGGAGATGATACGATGATTATGCAAAACACCCAAGATAACCTTTATCAGATTCAATTTACTAAATCGTCATTTCCGTGGCCGATGGCCAAATAGAAGGTGCGTCTAGATGGGAGGACTTCAGAATCTGCATAATTATGATCAATACATTTCTGAACAACTTCGTACTTAAGACTCCTGTGCACGGTGTAACAGAGTGATTTTTTTTAGAGATTTTGGAAATTGTCACGTTACCAGTTTAATAGTTTAAAAAATGCTACTTGAGATACGGCCAGTGTGCGCTCCTACCATTATTTTTTTTCAACTACAACAAAACATGGTAAAATTTAGCATTTTTCTGACACCATCAACTATTAAAGGATGAAAACTATAAGAAGCAATAGAACTTCAATAGTGTCACCGACTATGAAGAGGTGCTTATCTAAGGTGTTTTACTCGACGAGTAAAAACTGGATTTGGTCCTTATTGACAGTAATCACTACAATATCCAAAGTGAGAGGGAGGATGAACACCTGAACAGTATGGGTCGTAATCGTGATAAATTATACTGTACACAATGTTAACAATGATAAGATCTAGACTGTTTTGAAACGTTCGTGTGAAATTAATTTTTTTTTCGCCAAAAACTGAACCAGTTGCAGAAGCTGCGATTGATAAAATGTATGACAAATGTTGATCGCAAGATATTTAGGAGCTCATAAAATAAAGTTCTTCCCCCTGCGAATTCTCCATTGTAAAACCTAAGTTGGATCAATGAGATTATTTAGTAAGTTAGGGTTTAATATAGACATTAATAACGTTTATATCATCGACATGGGCTCAGTAAAATGAAACTCTTCACTAAATAAAGTTAGATGCCCACCTTTACATCTTATGACGCTAGGTTCTGTCCGGAACTGTTTTACACAGTAATTAGAGGGTCGCTGTATTACCACATGGATAACATCCATTGGTGATTGGCAGGATTTCAACCCGTAACCTCAGGCTCCAAAGCCCTGCGCTCTACCACTAGACCAGCTCACTCGCCAATCTTACAGTAATAGAATATATCATCGCATAAACACGTACCTCCAAGGTTAACCAGATAATGTGACAATGCTATTATGCTGCATCAAGATGAAAACTATCAATACCTAACACAATGACTACAATTACACCAAATCAATCCACACTCGATTAGACTGCATTGTGTGTTTGTGTCTGTGTCCAGATGTAAGTACCCAAGTACCCGCATGGAGTGGGCGGTTTAACAACTTCATACCAGTGAGTTACAGGGTATAATCACAGAGCGCAGCACTACACTACAATGAGTTCACCTGGTGAGTTACAGTGTATTGACATCACATCTGGGATACTACATACAGCACCGGTCGTAAACTGCACAACACTGCGTCCTCGATATTACTGGGGCAGTGTGTGTAGGTGTGCTGTAAAACTGTACAAAACAGTGCGTGGGCAACTATAACAGAGTACACAGACCGGTAATTCATTTAAGTAGATAAATAATTGTATAATGTAAGAAAATAAATGCATTGCATTTCAAAGCCGATCTGTAAAACATTCCTTATATGTAATACGTGAAGACGATTTCTACGAAACACTAATCCTCCGTTTAATGGACGGATTTTTAAAAACAATGTGTCAAAATAAGTATTATTTGTGTAGACGCCCCCTTCCACTAATTCCTGTAATAAAAGTCCTCTAGCTTTGCCCCACAGGCCATCAAAATCGCAATGTATTTCTTATGAAGAAAAGATTTTGTTTACTTAAACATGCAAATAATTTTTATGAATTGCAGTTATTCGTAGTAAACACGTGATACACACAAGAGCGTTCGTTTTCAGAGTGAGTTCGTTTTCAGTTTCAATAACTGGAGTGGAGTGATTGATTACATCTTTGAGTTTACTCTTTTAAGTCAGCGGAAATTATGAATGTTATTCGTTTTGAAATAACGCCTGGAATTCGAGCAACAGGTGCACTAGAACTATATAGATTATGTATCAGCTTTGACTTCAGTATCTGCGTCTGGAGTCAAAAAAGTTCATCGAAGAACTTATAGGATTAGGATTAGGATAGGGAATTAGATTAGAAAACTATAGCTATAGCTGTCGATGGCAAAACATACCAATTCCAATAAACATGGTACATAGCTTACTCGTTAGAAAAGAGTAACTTTGCATCCTGAAAATATTTACATACCCTTCTGTTGACTAATAAGGAATCTGTAAAGTTCCAATAGAAACTTGCATCTGTTATATTTCAAAATCAAACAATTCTACAACAAAATATTGATGAGCACGTTGTTAAAAAACAGTAAGCCTAAGGCCATAAATGTCCTAACTTCACTGTTATATTTTAATGAAATGTCTGGAGAAGTTATTTAACAATATTAGCAAGTAGCAACTCGAAGATGGAAATTAATAACGGAAAAGCAATACACAGGCTTGCAAAGATTGTCGTAGGCTTATACAATTGAAGTTGGGATCAGCCATGAATGGAACGTTACACTTTAGAGTATACATTTCTATAAATAGTGAAAAGGAAAAGAGGAAATGCGACATCTGGCGCGGTGTGTTGTGCGTGTTTTTATGCATCAACATCAAATACCCCTTTCGTACAATTTTTTCACGTTTACGAACAAATATTTAATTTAAAAAGAAAGCCTGAAGGCACCAACTACCAGATTAGATTGTACGCTGAAAACATAACTTGTTTATTCCTTATTAATGCATATCCTGAACAATGACTCAGTTTTACTTTCCTCTTTTCTGATTAAATGTAGTAATGAATGCATCGAATGTATAAGACACGCGGTATAACTCATTCAACATTTAATATTACCACTGCATTTACAAGTAAACTGATTCAGATATTTAATAACCTAGATCAGAGCGATAAATAACTTGTACCTCCCATTGCGCTGGTTGTGTTGGTTATTTATATGCTTATAACGTCCAGCCTTCTCACGGCCTACGATACATAGACTATAGTAAAATGCATGACGTGTGTACCAGCAATAAATATGTATTGTTGAGCAAATTTTAATAGAAAAAGTATACTTGGAAATTGTTAATTGCAAGTGCTACTTTTAGGAGTACAGTATACAAATTAAACGATACAATGGTGCATAACATCCAGGTATTTTGGAAAACAGAGAACTAGGAGAGAATATATTTTAGTGTAAATAAACGAAAAAATTGTTATAGATTTAGACGAGTGAAGTAATCATAGATTTTTTGCCAAATCGATATCCTACTTGCAATTGATAGTTGGTTTGAAAATTTGTAACAACAAGATCTAAGGCACTTATTGACGCTAATGGCTTCCACGCATAAAGCCATATAGTCTCACAAATGTACGTGAGTAGGCCCCTATATCGGGAATATCGAAGTCACTAGCTGTCATACCTTAGTTATACCACAGAAAACGTACTACTATAACCGTTATACACACTCGACCATAAAGCACAGAATAATAAATACACTATTAAGGCGACAAATTTACCACCTAAGTTAAAAAAGGTTTCTTTAAGTCATATGTCCAACCAAACCTAATCTCCAAGCTGAAGGCGTCCACATATTATATAGCCGTCTTTATGCCCTATAGTCTGTATGACCGAACCAAGCTCCGTTTTTACATCCCTTCAAGACCTAGAGGGTAACGGGATCACCACACAGCTAAAAACCGTTGATAATTGGCGGGAAATGAACCCGGCAACTCGCGAACCAAATCCTTGCGCTCTACCACTAGCTCGCTACCATATGCTGATCATTTCCCCGGATCAGATAGGAACGCGAGTCGCTGCCGTATTGTACCAATTAATCCGCGGGGATAAGTGAGTAGCGGAGGCGCTGAGCCGCGCGGAATGCGATGTCGGCAGGAAGATTTGTCGCCTGATAGACCTTGGACAACGGATAATTGAAACTATGACAGCGACAGTCGAGTAGCAGATTGTCGTATAAGAACCTAACCTGTGGCCGTCACCTACTTACACCGCTGTACTGCACTGTACTACTGTACTGCACGTTCAGTATATTGAAACTTTGGTGCATTCAAGTACCAATTAGGTTGTGAGCGATGTATTTTGGTGAAACTATGGCAAACTTTCGGTAGATTTATGTCAACAGTTCACGCCTCCTAGACTTTAACGAACTGTCGTCCAAGTTTTCACCATAACTACAGCAGTTCAAATAATCACCACAAATGCATTGGGCGTAGCGATAAAGCGTAAAACACACTCATTGTCCATGTATCTACGTCATCTAGGAGTCAATTTGCTGAAGAATGTTGGTTTGGAAGAAGAAGATATGTTTATCACCAATTTACATTGATATCTGGTATTTTGCCCAGATAATCTTTTGTGATTTGCCTTTTAGATGCGTACAATACATAAACATGTGTTCTAGATTTTGTCTACCTCAATTCTCACGGTGACTGTTATACGGTCAGAGTTATATTTAGTTAAGAAAGTTTTATTCCATTATAAATTGATTTGGACCTCCGGGATTTCCACGTATTCTTGAAGACAAATCGTGTTATCCTCATAAAAAAACGTATATCATCAGGGAGAGTAGTTACAGAAATTTTAACATCTAAAATAAAACAGCTCCTGACCGGTATGGATCATCTCGAACCTCCAAAGATTAATTGTCCAGCTAACGCTCCCGGCATCCCACCACACCAAAGAAAGTGACGAGTTACAAGTTTTCCAGTTGATAGGATGTGACCGGAACCAGGTGGGGAACGAACCAAAACATCGGTCCGAGGAGGTGCGAAGGTAGGGGAACGGTGATCGGAGGTCACCACGACTCCACGACCAGTCTGTGGTGTACTGTGACCATGCGACCATCCACCACGAGGAATAGAAAGACCACAGGAGCGCTGCGGCAGTTCGTCGCGGCCACCTCAGGTAGGACGGACGTTGAGTGTGTATCTGTAGTGTAGTAGAATATAGTGACTTCTGTGTAACTGATTGCTCAGGGTAAACGCAAAGATACTGGGACACGACTGGGCTAACTTACAACAAAAAGTACAGACCCAGCAAATAGATCTGTTGTTTCCCTTAAATTTACTCGGCCTACGCCCCGTGATCATCAAAAATTCTTATGTGAGGCGTTAAAATATATATCGGTCCCTATAACTACAACCCATTGTGTGGATTTACTTTTGTTTACGTTGTTTTCCCCACACAGATTATAGATGAAGAACTTAGGTTAATTCTATTCCATAGCTAATCAAAATTAGCCAAAGAGTTTTAGAGAATTACAGAACAAGTAATCTATTTACTAGTTGAATTCAATAACAGACCTGAGTGTATTTAAAACATTTTTTTAGTTCCTCGTTCGGATGGACATACGATACACGTGTGAAACTCCAATATTTAAGGTACAAAAAAGTTATACCTATGAAATTTAGGAATAGTTCATTTGAATATGTTAAAATTTTATGGAATATAGTAAAATAATAAATTAAATAAAGAGATTTGCCTCTTTGTTTATAAGTATATTTCCATTTAACGGTTGTTATTCAAGCGTAGATATATACCGTAGTTCTATTCCACGGACCAGAACAGATAATATAAGAACAAAATTTCTCATCTGATACTCGTGTTATTTTCCCACCATAATTAAGAGCGCTCAATAAAAAATGGCATCGACTTCAGTAAACTTCAGTAAACTTAAAAAAAAACATACAAATAGATGTATTAATATGCATTTTCCGTTTCGAGAATATTTACTTGTTTTCAATATTTATATTACAATTTAATTAAATTCCTTATCCCTCTGATTTGAATTTTAAATTCCACCTTACGGTGGAATTCCTTTACCTTACGGAATATATTGTATTTTACGTGCAAAAATTACTCTTCATTTCGAAAGATTTAAAAATTTCCTGTGTAACGGAGCAAATTACTAATCACAAATTGAATACACGCACTGAACGAGAAGTTTTTTTTTTCCAATGAAGAACGTAAAACCAATTATTAGGTAAACAAACGTGGAACGCATTTAAATGTAAACCACGCCTGTAAACACAAAACAGTTGGAACGAACGCGGCGGAATGTGTCCAGTGATTAAACCACTGATTTGCTACAGCGGTAATTAGTTAATTATTGTTTATTCAACATTCCTTTGAAATCGATTCAATGATTAAACTAGGTGGCGTTCGCAGAGGCATCCACAAAATTGAGCGGAGTCATCAAGGGTTCATATTATATTGTTTTTGTCATACTGCAGTAAAAACAGTAGTTTTTAATGCATGCGTTGCGGGTCTAAAGTACCATTTTTAATATTTAGGGAGTAAACATCTTTTATACTGTAGCCTCTTTGGAGTAAAAATCAGTTGTTGTCAACTCAGTAAATTTCGATTGTCAACGATTGCATGTATCGAAAATATATATCGATTCGTGCTTCGTAATCATTTTAACATACAGTCTTTATAGTCTCTTCCCGTAGCATTTTAGCATTGCAGATACATTAATCCATTCCCACACTCAACACTGCTCACCTTTACTACTTCCTTCACCACCCCCTACGTCGTGGACCTGTTTCCCTCTCTTCCCATAGCATTTTAGGATTGCAGATACATTAATTGTTATAGCCAAAGACAGTTCCTACACTCTGCACTGCTAGCCTTACTACTTCCTTCACCAATTCCTACGTCGTGGGGCCTGTTTCCTCCCCTTCTCATAGCATTTTAGGATTGAAGATACATTAATCTAACTGCCACAGATGGATCACACACTATGCTCATACTTTACTAATTCCTAAGCCACTTCCTACGTCGTGGACCTGTATTCATCACTTTCCAAAATAATTTATTATTTTAGATACGTTAATCTAATTGCCCCAAACATTCCCACACTCCGTACTGCTAGCCTTTACTACTTCTTTCACCATTACCTATGTCATGGGCATGCTTCCATCCCTTCTCATAGCATTTCAGCATTGTAGATATACATTAAAACTGCTACAAACGGTTTCCAGTTTCCACACTCCACACTGCTCACCTTACTACTTCTTTCCCCACTTCCTACGCCACGGACCTGTTTCCCTCCCTTTCCATGGCATTTTATGATTGCAGATACCTTAATATAATCGTCATGACCAGTTCCCTCACTCCGGACAGCTCGCCTTGACTACTTCCTTCATCACTTCCTACGTCACGGACCCGTTTTCCTCCTTTCCCATAGCATTTTATGATTGCAGATACCCTATTCTAATCGTCATAAACAGTTCCCACACTCCGGACTGCTCGCCTTTACTACTTCCTTCACCACTTCCTACGTCGTGGACCTGTTTTCCTCCCTTCCCATAGCATTTTATGTTTGTTGAAACCTTAATCTAATCGTCATGAACAGTTCCCACACTCCAGACTGTTAACCTTGACTACTTCCTTCGCCACTTCCTACGCCACGGACCTGTTTCCCTCCCTTTCAATAGCATTTTATGATTGCAGATACCTTAATCTAATCGTCATAAACAGTTCCCACACTCCGGACAGCTCGCCTTGACTACTTCCTTCATCATTCCTACGTCGCGGACCCGTTATCCTCCCTTCCCATAGCATTTTATGATTGCAGATACCTTAATTTAATCGTCATAAACAGTTCCCACACTCCGGACTTCTCGACTTTACTACTTCCTTCACCACTTCCTACGTCACGGACCTGTTTTCCTCCCTTCCCATAGCATCATAGGATTGCAAATACCTTAATATAATGGTCATAAGCAGATCCCACACTCCGGACAGCTCGCCTTGACTACTTCCTTCATCACTTCCTACGTCACGGACCCGTTTTCCTCCCTTCCCTTATAGTTTTTGGAATGCAGATACCTAAATCTAATCGTCATAAACAGTTTCCACACTCCAGACTGCTCACCTTTAGTACTTCCTTTAGCACTTCCTACGTCACGGACCTCAAGCTAGTGTCGTCATTTGATTATATTTATGATTTATACCGTTCTGTTCTAATATCTGTGGAATAATGCTATCAGCTATTTCTTTATCTATTGCATTCAAAAGTCAACAGCTGATCATATGTCTTTGTTTATGTGTCAAATACTGCTTCCATAAGGATTACATTGAAACTTTGAGACCCAGTGGGGCGGATTCCTGAGAGTTATTTTTAACGCCATATAGATGTTGGCACTCACCGATATGGTCTTTATCGCCATCCAAAATTTGAAAACGATTGATTCAGCCGTCTAGGAGGAGTTTGCGTATTACGAAATGCATAAAAGTCGACGTATAAGAGCTTCGCTCGCTTCGCTCAATTAAACTTAACATTACACTTGTTGGAATATAGCTTTGTCTCTGTGTTTGCCGTCGTATTAGTATTGTTTAATGTTATTTTTATTTTTATTTTGTATCTTTTACAGTATTACAATCGATACGGGACCTATGCGCAAATTTAGATATTTATAGAGTTCAAAACTTATTACAAAGGCAAAACGAATCCAATTCAATACCCCCTTTTACGTTTCAAATATTATATTTGTTTCAAACATTTCAAACAGTTATTAGGTAAATAAAACTACAGGATATACTCGTACAGCACAAACATTAAATTTGTTCCTTTTTAAATTTGGTCAACCCCATGAGGAGTTATTTACCTACTTTTGACCGGATACTACAATTATATAAAAAGAAGTCAATTTAGAATCCGAATGTGATTTACAATCTGAATGTGAACAATTCAACAATAGGACCAGCTTTTCACATATAAACTTTGTAAAGAAAGTTGTTCAGAATCACCTAATCTTTCAAAGTTAGTTAATATAAATAAAACTCTATGAGGGCGAAGCCCTAAAAGAAATTACCGTATTGGCATGCTTGTCCCCATTGAAGAACGGTATAGCGGTTAGTAGATAAAAAATCCAACATGTTTAACGAAATATTTTTATCAAAATCCAACTTGGCAAATGGAAATTTTGGTTAGTATGTAGGTTTGCTGCGGCGGGGGTATTTTTTATTTATAAGGTTAAAAAAATGCAATACTATCCAAGTCCCTGAGGATGTTCGAAAAGGGAAACATGCCAGCCAAGCTAATTCTAAATTAATTAAAACTATAATTAAATTAGGCCTATTTTTACATTGAGGGATATAAAGAATACTTATATAGGTACTTATTTCACCAGAAAGGGGGGAGGAAATGCTCAAATTCGTATAACAACACAAGAATAAATTTTATCACACAAAGTACCGTAATTAATTTTTCTTTGCCATTTACAGAAAACGCATTCATTTAAAAAAATTATAATTATAATAATTAACAAAACAAAATAGCCTGTATAACTTATATTTTAGCAATCATGATGAGGACTAAACTTGGATATCATCAGATATTAACAATCATTAGAGTATTGCATAATCAACATGGGTGGTTAGTTAGTTTTTGCAAAAAGTATGCTTTTGTAAATAATTGAAAATACTAACCATAATAACTTCAGTGTATCGTAAGAACAAATAATATGCATGTCGTCACAGGTAAAACAGCTTAAATAATATCACGGAATAAGTCACTTGACACTAACACTAAGTAAATACATATTAAAAAACACTACAATCACAACACGATAGAGATACGAACACTCACTACACGGACACACACGACAATACACGTAACAACATGAAAATACAGCGAACCGTACAACGACATATACAAGACACTTACTGAATACAATTCATTCCTGTATTAGATACTACATCGTTCAATATAACATGAAAACAAGTGAATAAATCATCAATAAAAATCTACTGTTATTACTTTGCAATTAAGGTAATAATCTACAGAATAAGTAGGATTATTTTCACTGACATTTACTTTACCTAATCTATTATTTCAATTAATACCTAATTTTATGTATAATATAAATGCATACTGTGTATTGTAGTACTCACACCGA